CCCAGGAGGTTATTGATAAAAAAAAAAAAAGGACACTTAGTAGGTTTTTTTTTTTGTGGACTTTTGTTTTTGTGTACACAGAACTTCATTTTCTTTGTAGGTTGATTTTACTGAAAAGAGACGAGGCTTCAAAATTAAAGCATGCATAGAGCCATCTGGATCTTCTAATTATCGTGCATGCATTACATTCAAAAATACTTTTGCAAAAATTAGTTCAGAAGACAGTTCGTGGCTTTATATTTTCATATTTCCTAACGCGCAACTCCAGTTTAACCAAGTCAGATTTCCATCCTAACTGTTAACGCATGCAAGTTGCAATAACCACATATGAGCCCAAGTTGCTGATGTATTTGTTTAGCCCAGAAGAAAAGTAGCCATGTGATGTGGTTGGTACATAAATCAGCCACAAGAACTAGAAGCAAGTATCATTTGCCCATGGTTGCAGCATGTAGCTGTAGGGGAAGAACAAGCTTTTTAGTCGGGAGTATAAGAAATCCATTTCTTATCTTCAAGACCAGTCGAACTCCATGCTTTAACTCGACTGGAAATTAGGAAATACTAGTTCATTAGAAAAGCACAGGTCCTATGCCCGATCTCTAATAATAGAATCGTGAGATTCAGACCAACTCCAGTTTTCAGCTTAAAGATCTTTGCCTTTGTCGAAATCTAAGGAAGCATTTACTTTTCACTCTTGCAAGTCAACTGTTGGGGAATGAAGCTGAGAGGTAAGGCATGAAAGAGAGATGGGGATGTAGTCTTGGTGTTTAATTTGTGCGACCTTATTTCATGATGATTCGCTTAGATGGCAATGAAATCGATGTCATCGTCATTGTAGGTATAACATACACATAGGAGAGACTAAAGAAGGGATTTAGATGCAAATAACTTATGGGTGGCCTCGGTCTCCATGTCAGATTAAGGAAGAAAATTGCTATGGTTTTTTTTTTTTTTTCCGGGGTTACTACTTATTTAAGATGTAGAGCTTAAGCTTTTTCTTTGAAAATAGAAAAAAAATCAAAATATAAAAGGATATTGATGAAAAAAAAAGCCTAAAAGATTGTTGAAATTGGTGGTGAAAACCCAAAATACACTACTAAAAAAGGAGCCTACTAGCAACTAACTAGTCCATTACAGATAAAATTAAAATATATTGCTGATAAAACTCAACAACGAAATTAGCAATTAATTATCAATTGTTGATTTATTTAGCAACAAATTATCTGTTACTAAAATTCGATTGTTGATTGTATAAATCAGTAACGAATATTCCATCGCCAATCGTCATTGCTGATCAGCAATGGATATTGCATTGTTGATCCATTGTTAATTAGCAATGGAAACTTTGTTCCTAATCCATTGCTAATTTGTCCAATTACTATTTTTTAAAACATGAATTTTTTAGATTATTTATTTTCCATCTATTAAATTTCTTATAATTATTTGTGGATATTTTAAAAAATTTAGAAACATATATAAAGAACATAAATTAATACTAGAAATTATTTTATGAACAATAATAAGTCAAATAAAAATAAATTTCATAATAAATTTCTAAATCCTATTAAACTTACATCAATATAAATAAGTCACAATTTAATAAATATATTCTATCATAGAGGTGGTGGTTGGGGCAGTGATAGAAACAAACCAAAACAATGCTGACCATCATAGGGGGCCCAATATATTGTAGTCAAGGCCTAGGTCGATATACTGGATTAAACAGGAGATACATATGTGTCATTATTTATGGAGCCATATGTGACGATATAGATGAAGCTATAGGTGCGAATATACCTTGGTCCATATTTGATGCCCAACCTTAATATCCCATATTACTAAGAGATTTTTTTTTATAAAAGTCATCTCCTGTTGTAGTGATAAAATATGACCATTTCCTTTATTTGCACTTTTATTACCTGAATTGATGAGCTAGCAGGTGTTGACTCCATCATATAGGACTGTGATGAAGTACTCATACTAACAATGGATTTCGATATACCAGATGCACCATATATTCTACCCTTTGTAACTTCTCTTATAGCCACACACCAAGTTGCTCCATAAAATAAATGATGATTTTCCTGATCAGTTTCACATCTTGAAATCATCTCTTTTTGGTAATTCCCCTACAATAAAATTAAATATAATAAGAAATTTATTTTAATTTTAAATAATAATTAAATTATATAAAAAATATTTATAACAACTTTTTTAGACTTGTTATCTATAAATGTTTCAAGCTGTTTAGCACTCTGATGCAACACGGAAAACACATAATCTCATAAAGGTTTTTTTCCGCCTGTTTTTTGTTGCTATCACAACAAAAAATTAGAAAATATAAATATAAAAATTCAAATTCCATTATAACAAATAAAAAAAATCTTCACTGTGCTAGCTCGATATGATGCAAATGACACCGTACCTCTAAAATGAGTGCTTAATTTACTATATGTTTCAATTAGTCGATTATTCCATGTAGATTTTGATCTCCTTTGAAATTCATGGGTGAACTAAATATCATTAATCATTTGATTTCAATTGTCATTATTTATCCAAATTGGACCTTTATTAATGCATGCAATCCATAATATTTTAGGCATTTATGTCCGACATAGCTCTCTTACGAGCTCGTGTCAACTGCTAGTTTAAAGATATCAAAGATATTCTAGTCTTATCTTTTAAAATCTTACGAACAATTAGTTCATCATCCTCATAAAATATAATTTTTTTCCTACTAAAAAAACAAAAACAAAGCTCAACATGGTTGCTAACCAGCCTGTATAATTACAATTACATAATCAATAGCTAAAAAGATGAACAAAAAATATTGTCAAAATAATAACTTTTTAACTACATCATAAAATGGAATTTAATTTGTCAACTAAGACAACATTGTTGAGGTATTTAATGGATTTACTCATTTTGAATTTAAAGAGATTATGAGGAAAAATATCTTGAATGTTTTAATTTTAGCATAGATGGTTTGTCTAAAATTCTACGCAAAAAAAAGAAGAAGAAGAAGAAGGAATAAACTATCTCAATGAATAAAATTGTTAATTATAGCAAAATTAATCTTGAATAATAATAAATAAATAAAAATTACTGAAAAACAATCACAATATTGTTGGAAAAATGTGCACATGAGAGACCATAACCTAAAAACAAAGAAAACAAAAGGAAATTAAAAGAAAATAATAATAAAATAAATAATAATATGGATAGAGTGCATGTCTTTGACATTTGTTAGAGTAACATGTAATAATAGGTGATTAATACTTAAAAATATATTTTTTTAGAGTAACATGTAATGGTAGGTGATTAGTACTTAAAAGTATATTTTTATTAAGGTTTTATATCATCATTTTACACTTGAAGTATCAATAACTCCTTAACTACAACATGCTTTATAATAACATATCTAATAATATAAAATATTTTTAATTTATGGTAAATATTCATCTTAAATGCAGGTCTATTATATAAATAAATAAAAGAATTGATGAGTTTAACTACTAAAATTGAGAAGATAAAGAGAGGACTAAGTTTATAAAAGAAATGCTGATTCAGTCTAAACTGGAATACTGTTCAGTGAAATGAAATGTTGATTCAGTCTAAACATGAATACTGTTCAATTATTGGATTATATCTAGAGCTATAGATCTTGGATTTCAGTTTGGTTTATATTCATGAGAGTCCAAGACTCAATTTTGCCATTTGAAAGTCCAAATCTTAGTATCAAAAGAGAAGTCCGAATCTATTCCGTAACCCAGATACTGTTTAGTATTTAGTCTATATCTCGAGTTCTAAAAGTCCAAATGCATCGATTCATTTTTTTGTGGAAAGTTGAGACAATTTCCTAGAACTTTCATGAAGACCATATATTTAAAGTCTAATGTTAACAATGACATTTTCCGTAAACAATAAGATAAGGATTGTTACGAAGTTAAAAGGTGACCACCCACTCAAATGACAAAAATTAAAAAAATGATAAAGATTAATTAAAATAATATAGCTTAAAACATAATTATAAAATACAATAACCTTATAAATTTCAATGTACTTGGTTATTCCATATAAATGAAGTTCTTTCGTTTTTTTTTTGTAATTAGATCTTTATGTATGTCAAAACCGTCCTTTTGAACCCTTTACCCATGATGCAATAGAGAAGATATTGGGCAATGGATTGATGGGATGTTGTCTCAATCCTCTAAATTTCTAACATTACAA